TCGATCTTACTACACACACACACACACACACACACACACACACACACAGTCAGTTAAGGAGGAACGGAAAATATGGAGATTAGTGTACGAGTCTTCTTCCCTTACGCATCTTTTACACTGTTTTAACTCTTCTGCTTTCTGCAGACTATCCTTAATTTATAGTAGTGTAAATCAAAGGAAAATTGGGTCTAGAACTACCATGAATGTGAAACAGGACTACAAAGTATTTACCACCATCATACAACACAAATACTCACCTTGTCAAAAGCAGGATACACGGCTCTAATTTCTGTCAACCAGCCATACGGCATGTGTCCCACAGGGTATGTAGCTGTCAGAATTGCCACAGCCTACAACAGGAGAAAAGAGAACATACTTACACTTCAAATCTTCAGACAGCATAAAGAAACTAACCTTTTATCCAATTTTCAGTTACTATTGACCTCAGTGCAACAAGAGACAGGCAACCAAGTGGGCAATAATTACATCAGGAAAACAATCATAGAAACAGTTTTTCTATGATGCATTTCAGACTCAGGGAAAATTCAACTTGGGTGAAAATATATGACTTAACTGTGTGGTGTTACCATCACAATAGTACTCTCTGATTATATTGTAGATTTTTAATCTGTTTATTTACTCATCAATTAGTTGATTTTTTCCCTTTATTCTTTCTACCATGTTGATTAATTATTCCATCTAGTGAGGCTTACATACACTGCACTAGAGTACATTGCTTTTTCTATTAATTGTATTCCATTATCTTCATTTTTTTCATACAATTTTGTTTTAATAAGTTCGTAAGTAAAACAGTGGAAACATAAAATTATTTAATTAAAAAGAACTACAGCAATGTAATTTGAAAACCTGCAGACTGACTCACTTTGGATGTCAGATTGACTGTTTTGGGCTAGAGGGACCCTAGAGACAGAAAACTCTGCTTACTCCTGTACTAATCAATTGAAATCAGACAAAAATAATCCTAGATTGTTGTTTTTAACACTAGAACCAGCTCATTACCTGAAATCTAAGAAAACTAAGTCCTCTAGTACTTTTGCAAGTACCATTTACATAAATGAGATACAAAAAAACCTAACACCTCAACAGATTTTAAGATTGCTTTGTGCTGCTGATGTTTATGTTTTTGTCTTTCCTGAGGAAAAAGTCAAATTACTGTATATATAAGGAAACATTTTCAAACATTGAAACTGCCTTTTTTTTTTCCTATGGAGGCTGGTGAGATTTTCCCAACACTGTTCTGGCCACAGTTGGCCCAGATAAGATGGGGTAGTAAAAATGTCCATCATTTCAGTCCTACCCTTCTCAACTGATGTATCTTGGTTCACATGGGAAGATAGTTTAGGGAGATTCTCTTTAGGCTCCTTCTAATGCTGCCTTGAAACTAGCAAACTGTCCCTATAACTTTCCTCTTCCTCAGAGCCGAAGTAGGTGTCAGTTCTGTGAATCGCCTGAGAACTTGATAATTTTACTATTCCCACTCCAAGAGTTTGACTGTATGGGGTCTGCAGGATCAGGCCTTCCTTGTCTTGTTACGATTCAGCTAAATTTAGACTCAGTTGGGTATGGATCGTTAGTGGAAGAGAAACATTTCTTTGGTCTGTACTACTGCTCTCTCAGGGTTTGTCTTCACAGCAATTAGACACCGGCAGCTGGCCTGGGCCAGCTGACTCGGGCTCATGGGGTTCAGGCTGCGAGGCTGTTTCGCTGCTGTGTAGACTTCTGGGCACGGGCTGGAGCCCAGGCTGTAGGACTCTGTGAGGTGGGAGGTTCTCAGAGCTCAGGCTTCAGTCCAAGCTCAGAAGTCTACACTGCAATGAAAACAGCCCCGCAATCCGAGTCCCACAAGCCCGAGTCAGCTGATATGGGCCAGCCACAGGTTTTTCTTTCCTGTGTAGGCGTATCCTCAGTGTTTTGGTCTCCTAATAGAGGAATCAGAAAGGGCTTATGGGGCTAATCCTGCATGACTTGAATTCACAAAACACCCACTGGGTGCACAAGCAACATAGAATCTGTTTCTTGTCCTTTTACAGAAACTACTGTTAACAACACTGAAAGCATACCCTTCATTTGAGATCTAATCAACTTTTAAAAAATGAGTTAAAATAGCTTTAAACCCACTTCTGCTGCTAACTGCCCCATACCAGTTTTTGTGATTAGCTAATCACATTTTGCTGTTAGAAATGGTCCCTGTGGTGAGAAAGACCTACACAAATGGGAGAAAGTGGCTAGCCAGTCAGCTTTACCCCTTGCCCGGTATAAAGTGCTGTCCAATACACAAAGTAAACTGGAAAGATGGGGAAAATATTTTTTTATAACCATTTAGTTGTTACAATACTGTTTAGTGTTACTTGTACCAACAGTAGGTAAGATATATCAGTGGTATTTAAGTTGGTATTCTTTTAGTTGCAAAGAATCTAGCTTTTTTTTTACTCTACCATCTGTTTTCAGTAGAATCTCTCATATACCTGAAAGCTGATTTGATTGAATAATTATAGAAATGATTTATTCTTTACTTATTTTGATACCAGGGCCCAGCAATAGCTCAGCCCACTGTTTAGCACCTCTTTATGTGTACTAGAGTCTCTTCGGATTAATTTAGAGATTGCTTTAGTATTTAAATATCCTCCAGGATTTTTAACTTGAGTGATGGTGTCTCAATGCACAGGCTATGACTCTCCTACTTTGATAAACGTATATGAGATTTTAACATGAATGGAAACCCCCAAGTTGACAACCCTGGTAAAAAAAAAACAGGAATCAACTGAGGCATGTGGGCTAGTTACCCTCATAAATGTGTTCACATTGTATCTCCTTCCAGGCACCCCATCTCTTATAGCCAAACATTGAGAGCTGCTAGCAGGGAAATTTGAAAGCCCTTGCCTATATTCAAGCCTAGTGTATGGCAATTGTCTATGCTGCCAGCACTTCCCTTTTCAGAAACCAGAGATGAAAAGCACAATTGCTGAGAACGAGGAAGACCCAGTCAGCCACCAGCTACAACTGTGACATGCTTTTGCCATTAATAGTAATGAAAGGCAAAAGATCTATTCAACAAATGTTTAAGTGGCATATCTAAAACCATCAACAGTCGGGAAAAGCAAAGGAGAGGTTAGTTAACCTATTCTGTTCCCTTGTACTGAAATGGTGCCCAAGCACTCCACTGGACTAAGCACAGCACAAAGTCCTTGGCTTGAATAGCTTACTGTCCTAAAATAGTTAGGCCCATTCCTGAAAGCACTTATACACATGCTGTCAATGGAATTTCTCAAGTGTATGAAAAATATGATATAGGATCATATATAGGGCTGGAAGAGACCTCAAGAGGTCATCTAGTCCAGCCCCCTGCACTGAGGCATGACCAAGTGAAACTAGACCATCCCTGACAGGTGTTTGTCTAACCTCTGCTTAAAAACATTCAATGATGGGGATTTCACAACCTTCCTCAGTAACCTATTCCAGTGCTTAACTATCCTTTATAGTTGGAAAGGTTTTTCTAATATCTAACCTAAATCTCCCAGTTTAAATGGATTACTTCTTGTCATACCTTCAGTGGACATGGAAAACAAATGATCACCCTTCTCTTTGTAACAGTCCTTAACATATCTGTAGGCTATCAGGTCCCTCTCTAAATATGCCCAGTCTTTTTAACCTTTCTTTATAAGTCGGGTTTTCTAAACCTTTTATCATTTTTGTTGCTCTCCTCTGGACTTTCTCAAATTTGTCCACATTTATCTTAAATGTGGCACCCAAAAATGGATGCAGTGCTCCAACTGAGGCCTCACAAGGTTTCCATAGAGCAGGACAATTACCTCCCGTGTCTTACATATGATACTCCTGTTAATACATCCTAAGAAGATATTAGCTTTTTTCACAATTATATCACATTGTTGACTCATTCAGATTGTGATCCAGATCCTTGTCTGCAGTAGTACCGCCTGGCCAGTTAGTCCCTATTTTGTAGTTGTACATTTGATTTTTTCCTTCCTAAGTGTAGTACTTTGTATTTGTCTTTGCTGAATTTAATTTTGTTGATTTCAGAGCAATGTCATGATCACTTTCACCCAATTTGCATTCTACCTTCAGATTTGCAATCAATTTCACTCTGTTGGCCTAAAATGACTGTCACTGATGCTTACTCCCTACAGTTTCTGAAACAAAAGTTGTCCTACATACATTCAAAGAACTTACTAGATATTTTGTGTTTTGCTGTATTACTTTTCCAACAGATGCCTGTGTAGTTAAAGTCTCCCTTGTGTTCTGGATATTTCTGTTATTTGTTTTAGAAATGCCTCATCCACCACTCCTTCCTGATTTTCACCTATAGTATAATATAATAATATATGGAGATATACCTATCTCATAGAACTGGAAGGGACCCTGAAAGGTCATTGAGTTGAGTCCAGCCCCCTGCCTTCACTAGCAGGACCAAGTACTAATTTTGCCCCAGATCCTTAAGTGGCCCCCTCAAGGATTGAACTCACAACTCTGGGTTTAGCAGGCCAATGCTCAAACCACTGAGCTATTCCTCCCCCCATAGTAGACCCCCTACCATGCCATCATCCATGTTTCTTTTCCTCTTTCATCTTCACCCAGAAACTTTCAACTGGTCTTCCTCTCACCTCCTTCTGGATCTCAGAAAGAGTGTATATATTCTTGATGTATTAAGCGATACCTCATTCCTTCCCCTCCTGAACAAACTATACCCCTCTATACCAATATTCCAGTCATGGGATTTATCCCACCAATATATATGACCAACAGGGCCATGTTACTGTGTCTGTGAAAACCTTAACATTAGGACTTTCTGTACATCCTTCACATTTCAGAAAGGTAGGAGTCTGCATTTAGTTTCCTAGTTTTTTCCCCCCCTTATTGAAAAAAAAAACAGGGAAAAAAAAATACACAAAAAACCCTAATCCTCCTCCCATTTAAATCAATGGCAAAAATCCCAGTGATTTAAATGGGGGAAGGACCACATGAAGAGGCACACTTTCTGTAAGCACAGGATTTTGTGTTGCAGTTACAAGAAACCTGTGCCTCTGTGGACTGCTTTAATGTCACCTCTGATGAGTATTTCAGAAAGTGAGCACTTAGCAGAGATAAAAGAACTGGTACCTTCAAGATGTTAAGCAGGATACATCTTTGGGACAATGGAGCCAAGAACTGGCCTTTGGAACCCTACTTCAACCAGTTTAGAAAGTGCCCAAGAGGTAGACAGGTATGTATGTGTATGTGAAACAACCCCAGCACTCACATCCCAGCCAGGGGCCTGATTCTTCCATGCCTTACCTCCTATACAGTCACTTACAACTGTGCCAAAAGTTAACAAATCATAATGGTAATGTGTCACCTCGCTTTGCATAGCTGTAAATAACTATGCAAGAGGCAACCCAGTGGGGAATGAGACCCCAGACAACTCTCCTGAATTCACCGGGCTCTGAAGCTTCCATTGCCTGTCACTGCGCACATCTTGAAACCCCAGGATACTTGACTGGAATCTGTGATCCATGATGCATTTAATAAGACATTGTTTAGAGTGGGATGTAAGTGGGACTGGAGGCTTCATGTTAAGAGGCAGAAATTAGGCCAACATCTTCCGCTTGCTTTTAGCATCCTGGGGAAAATGCACACTTAGCATTTGCATTTGAGACCACTTTCCCCTGTTCCTATGGATGAGAGGAAAACACATCAGGAGGTGCTGTATATGGATGGGAATGAACACCCTGCTTCCTTAGAAAATGTAAACAAGGATGACTTCTTTTGTGTGTGGAATGCAGTACAACCATAAAACATTTCAGTACAAAATGGCACCCAGCTTCCCAGGGATTCACATACCTCTGTGGCGGCAGAGCTGCCGCCCAGGTCCCGGGAGACAAAAAGGTTGACAATGGGTCTACTGATTCGCTGAGTTGCCAAAATTAATGCCAAAGGCCACCAAAAACTCAGCATCTTCCTTATTGTAGCATCTCCCTGCAGCGTAAGCAAAACAAAGTCCCTTTTGAAACAAACAGGCAGGACAGAACCAAAAGCACAACCGAAGGATTTTTTCTCGCTTTTCCCACCCCTCAGTTGACTCGCCTCATTCAAAAGCACACCAGAGCCAGAGCCATGAAAATGCAATCTCCCACGTTAGCGATACAGAATTAAAGGTAGCTGTGCATTCTTAGCAGCCCTACTAGATCTGAATAATTGATGTACAAAGTATTTGCATAATTTGTCCTGGCAACCGGTTATAAAGGCATTGATCTGCAGTGAGGGATTTGTGAATTACTGCACGACATTCAAGGAAAAAAAGAGGTGTTCTGACACACAGCTTCCTCACACAGAGAGGAATTTCTCAGAATGTCAGTTTCCAATGTCATCCTTGTAGCATATAAATACATTTGCTGTGCTAATGATCCTATGTACTAATATAACATTAGCGGGAATGTGCTTAGCATAGCCATAGAGGTACTAACATAAGGATACACTATACCGCTCTCACACAGGACACTGTCGGGTAGCTGCCATGTACACTGTCATTGAATTGGTATGCACAAGGGTATGTTTGAAACTAAGCGTTATGTGCTTTTTTTCCCTGAGGGACAGAAAGCATACAAGCCTCATAAACACTAGCTAACCTGATTGCACAGTAAGTCCTACCAGGCATTAAGACATACCCCCATCTCAGGCCCACTGCTGTCAGGAATAATGTCATGTATATTCTTGTAGTAGCCCAGGCATAAGGTGGTACATCGGACCAGTGCCCCCATGTACAAGGATAAGATTGGGATAAGGAGAGGCTCTTTGCATTCCAAGTGACTGTGAAGCAGAATGGCTACAAAAACAACCTAAAAGAGAGAAGAGGAACAAAACAAGTAGACAGGTTAGGGGTTTTCTATTTTAAACAAAGGGCCCAGTATTTCCTGCTGTACCCAAAACCAATCCATCTCTGACACTGCCACACAGATGCAGACGACATTGTGGTAGTGCCTAGAGACCCTAGTTAGGGATTAGCTCTCCATTGTACTAGGCGCTGTACAAATGAGTAGAATAAAGACAGTCCTTGTCCCAGAGAATTCACATTCAGGATTTGACACCAGGCTATAGGTGGACAAAGTACTGGTAACGGGGGCAGGTGCAGGTAACCATAAGGATGAGTACGTTTGCATGCATTTAGTCTTGGTGCTGGGATTGAGTTCCAGGTGGCCAGTAGCCTAACCAGTTCCACATGGTGTTGACCCATTTTGCTAGGGAGTATGATTTCAATAGCAATTTCTAAGTGTCTCTTTTTTGAAAGTCATATTAAAAAGAACATGGATTTCTTTGACTCTTTAAGCAAGTCAAATATGATTTTTCAGTATTTAAAACTCAGTGGTTAGAAGGGAATCCCACTTCAATTCGAACTTTGCACTGGCTTCAAGCAAGATAGCTGGGTTTTCTCTTGGCATAATTCTAACTGGTAAACTTTAATACTAAATACCAAATCCCACGAATACATCAGATTATGGTGAGAATCAACCCCACTACATTTCCTGGATTTTAGCATTTAAGATAATAACTTTAACTCTTTCACATTCATCACAGAGCCTGAGCATCCCAGTTAAATTCCAGAGGTCTCCATGGGGAAAATTGGGAAGCCTGCTTGACATGGTTCTGTGACTGAAAGAACGGAAAATGACTCTATTGGCAAGGGCTGGGACTACAATGAGTTCTGAATGAACACATGGCGTTGGGTTTGCTTACTAAATACATGGTTCTGTGGTACTAAATACATCCTTCTCTCATTGGTTTTATATTATGTGCAGACAGTGATTACACCTAATGTATGTCTTGCTTTAAAAAGAAATAAACACCTGTAAGTATTTACTAGGCTGGTAATGCTGTTTATAGGAGGATTGCAAAACAGCTGATTTAGGATGGTACTGTGGACATTTTTTCAATGAAGTTGCTCATCCTAACGCTGCTCAAGAGAGGAAAGAATTAAAGGGCTCAGGACAAAAACCATCAATCACATCTTCAGGACTACAGGTAAAGTTCTTATTAAACAGATGTTACTACTGCTTATGTTCACTTTGCTAATGTCAACTGATGCAGGGAAGTCCAACAGTCAGTGATTTTGCCCTTCTGGAAATGCTCTTGTCCCATAAGTATTCTGTTATAGAAAGAGGAGATATTGTGGAGTTCATTTTCAATGGCCTTACACCTTGTTTAGTCAACTTGCCCTTGTGCAAAGTGTGTGTATCTAAAGCACTGCCAGATTAAGATGGTAGTGTTATAATCTCTTTGCTCAGGTCTGAATGACTAGACAAGCTGCAAAAACATGGAGAATGAGGCCTAGCTGGCTACATTCTGTTTTCATACTAGTCTTACACCACTGACTTCCAGGGTCACTCTAGAATGAGATGAGAGTCAGACCCATTAAGTGGATTTCTTTGTTATTAAGTTAGCTTGTTATAATTACCTCTAACTTATATTAATTGCAGAGATTTCACTCTACATGGTATCCAGTGCAAAAATGAGTATCTAACATAGGGTAACAGACCAAAAGGTTTAACCCTTCAGTATATGATTGTTTTTACTTAATAGAGGGAAGGTGATCTATAGAACTGAATGAAGGATTTAGAGCCCAGAGCTCTTGAGTTCAGATTCCCTCTGACCTTGCACGAGTCACATGCTCAGTCTCTGCCTTCACTTCCCCCACCACTAAATGAGAATGACAACACTGGCCTACGTACCAGGTGCTGTGAAGCTAAATTTGTGTAAAAGTTTAAGCGCTTTAAAAATGAGAACTGCAATATCGGTACTCGATATCAAACATGAATTTAAATGACTTTCCACAATGGATGTCTAGTAAAGTGCAGAATGAAGGGGACATATGTTTAACACATCACTCAGGTAATGGAAGTTGAAACAATGCAGGACCCTTCCTAATAATGCACTGCAGCACCAACGTGTTTAAGCTAAGTTCTGACTGCAGTTTTGAACATGAAACATTCAGGGCCTGTAACAAGAATATTGCTTGCTGAGCTATCCTCACACTCGGGAGACAGCATATGTTATTGCAGTATGGCTGGAATTTCACCAAGTTAATCAACAAGTGCATCATTGAGGGATGAAGGGAAAACTGAGGAATCAAATATATATTTTATTGCCGTACAGTCTAGAGGCCCCACTCAGGATTTCAGCCCTATTATGCTAGGAGCTATACAAAATATGGTAAAAGACAGTCCCTCCCCCAAAAGAGCTTAAAATTTTTAGTAACATTCGTATAAAGGTACCATATCCTGGAACACGTGGCAGCCATTGTGTTTCACTGAACTCCTGTCCTTTCAGGAAGGGCATAGCTGCAGTGAGACATTGCATTAAACCAAGCCATCCTGGCTCCCCATTCCTGGAGTTATCTGACTTGTGTGGCAGTGAGAGCAGCCTCAGCTACAACTGCCACCGAGGGGCCTCTATGCAGTGTGGACTGCTGAAGTACAGCACGCTCAAGGTACAACCCCGCCGCTGCCAGCATGCTGGGAGGAAGGCGTAAAGCAGGTTGTAAGCCGGGGAGGAGTTTTGACATGCTGGAAGAAACCTCAAATGCTTGTTTAGAGTAGCTACAGGGCTCCAGAGCGTGGGCCAGGATCCGGCCTATAGTGCAGCAGGTACAACTTTTGCTGAGATGAGTCATTACCTGAGCTATGACATCTGAGATGGAGGCACATCCCACAAGGAAACTGTGCTTGTGTTTCAACAGAATGCCAGCATGGGTCCAAGCCTGTAAAGGACAGAATTTTGTTTAGAAAGTGACCAACCTGGATACATCTATTAGGTTCAGGTTCCGAGCCCTGACTACTTTCTTACTGCTAAACTTTACACAAACCATTTATGAAGCTCTTTCCTGCATCTGAGTCAGCCTCCCATGTGAATCTGAACAAATCTAGGCCAATAATACAGAGACGACACTGCAGCTTTTAACTCTTTGCCAGGGCTGGGAGAGAGGCTCGGTTTAAATGACTGTACAGTAGCTGCTGAGAAGGGAATATAGTAATGAGAAGCAGCCTTTATTCCTGGTGGGGGGAGGGGAGGGTGTTATTAGAGTTCTAACAAATCCAAGTAATAGGTTTTCTTTTTATTCACCAGCTTTCATTGTGTATAAAATGTAGCTCTGATCTCACTGGCTAATGGGTATATTGAATATAGCTACAAAATCCTGCCTTTAAAAAGTAACTCACTGATGCCACTTTTCATACTTAGTTATTTGGCGAAAGTGACTGGGGTGTAGGTATACATCAGTAGCATAGTCTGCAAAATCTTTAATAGAGCAGAGGAATTACTTGCATGGGCAAGCTCTCCTTCAATGCGTCTCCAAATACCTGTCAAATAGTTGGGTTCTATAAGCTGGGAACATCCCAGAGAGAAGTGACAACTAAAATTCAGTTCTGAGCCAGACACTCACCATGGCATCCATAAAAGGGAAGGCAGCAAGATAAAGGAAGGCCCGTCTAGTTTTACTTCCCACCGATTCATCCACATGGTGCAGCTTGTTAATAATGTAATACCCCAAATCGCTATACGCTGCAGAAATAAAAGAATGGCAAAAAAATAATTTGGTTAAACTGACAGATTCTGGCTGGGATGTTCAAAAGCACACGTGAGTTAGGCATCTAACCTCTAGGCACTTCTGAAAATCCCACCTTCTCTTCCTAATCAGGGTTTTTTGTAGTGTCTTACGAATACAGCCTTTCAATGTATTTTGCAGGTACATATTAGAGAATAAGCTTATAAGTATTTTTAAAAGTTTATAAAACACATAGCACCATATAACACTGATAATATTACCTGTCAAACGTGTACAAAACAGTGAAATCACATGATGAATTATAAAGGCATGCAACAAACCTCCCCTTCACCTTGTCTGCTAATCATTTCTACTGACACGTGTTCCAACATTGCAAAACCTCTGGGGCAGCCTCAGGTGACTGTCACTTTCCTTCCATTTTAAGGGCTAATATATCACAAGGCTAGAAATGGATTATCTGTGCTAATGGAAACTGCACAATTCCGACTTTTCAGTGGGCAATGCACCTGTTTCTAGTCCTGGTTCATCCTTAGGTAAGAGCTATTTTTAAGATGTTCGTTAAAGTGGCTTTGAACTTCACAATTTTAGAGGTTTCTAAATGTGACAACTTCCTTTTCATTTAAGGCCAATATAGCTGGACTCTCAGTACTAGATCCTAACATTACAGGTGGGGAAAGAAAAATAAATCCCAATAACTATTAAAAACCACTATAAAGATGTATAACCTTACATTTTAAAAAAAACTGTTAAAAGAGCATTAAGGTTGACAAGTCATGCTATTATTGTAATTTTGTTTGCATACCCTTCACTATATTACAAAAAGATATACATAGATACTTAAAAAGAAGAACAGGAGGACTTGTGGCACCTTAGAGACTAACAAATTTATTAGAGCATAAGCTTTCGTGGACTACAGCCCACTTCTTCGGATGCATGTTATGCAAGTCCTCCTGTTCTTCTTTTTGCGGATACAGACTAACACGGCTGCTACTCTGAAACCTTTCATAGATACTTAACAGCATGTCACATCCTTTATACATTTGCTTATATTATCCAATTCATGTGTGTTAATAACAGTGGTCTAATCCAGCTTTGTTTTAGCCTAAAACCAGCTATCCTAGTGGAACTGGCAGGTTACTCAAGAAGGAAGGAAATTTGCTTACACAGCCACAAAATCTCAGTTTTGTTGAATATAGAACACCGTTTAAGGACAGTCAGAGGAACTGAGCCTAGCATTGTTTTGCAATTACTGAGTGATAATACAGTCACAAGGTTAGGGGATTCAAAGAAAGGTTTATCTCTCATTATAACACTCTTCTAAAATGATGGACAAGTAATGACAACTAGATCTAATGATAGAAACAGGAATAGGGGCAACATATTTCCACCAGAAAACTGGGAAAACACAAAGCAAGATAAACAAATAAAACCTCCATTTTATACTTGTTTTCTAGTCCTTATGAAATTTCTGCTATCTATATTATTATGGCGAGGCTTGCAGTCTGTCAGATCACCCTAGTAATCGCCAAGCTGTACTTAGAGTCACTCCCAAACAATCAGCCTAATTGCCTTTTGAATAGTACCAGGGAACCATTCTGTAAAATAGAACTCTAACCTTACTTCCCGAGTCCTGGCAGGTCGCCTCAGTTCTTTTGTCTTAAAATATTCATTTTGTGATAATTTTCGCATATCAACGGATACCAGCTGTGGCTATTTTTTAAAAGCAAATATCTATGTGTCCACTTAACTTTTCACTCAATACTTTGTAAACAGTGTGTGCTACCTACAGATTTTTACAATTCCTTTGAATGCTGTTGCTTTCATTGCAGAGCAGCACCTCATGTCTGCTCCCTAAAATAAAAACTGACTTGAATGAGCTTGTGCAACTTTGGAAGAGACGTGAAGAACATATTTCATTACACTCAGATTCTGTGAGGTCTGTGTTAGGTTCCATTCACACCTATAGACTAAAACCATGTGGTGAGACAGCTAAAACTCTTGCAGGAGCTACAGGATGTTAAGTTCCTTACAGGGACAAATATCCTCTTGACCCTGTCCCTTCCTGCCCTTTGCACCCTTTGTGTCCTGTGGACCCACTTCTTGCAGAGGGGCTTCCATGAGCAACTGAGGATGGAGAGGCAAAGAGGCTCTCTGCTTTCTCAGCCCTCTCTTTTTTCTCCCTCCTCTCCACTTCCATAAAAGCAAGCAGTAGAGCAACCCTCTTGGCTCTGGAAGATATAGAGATTAAAAAAAGAAGTGCATGGTCACAAAAACCTCGATTAGTGCCCAAGGACTGGATGAGCATGGAGTCGGAACCAGCCTTACTCCTGGACATGTGTGCTCCAACACAGGGTTGGAGCACGTTGGCAGGGCATTATGGAGAGGCTTGTACAGCTTCTGCCCAAAAAGGACCTATTCCCTAGACAGAGCACTTCACTCTCTAGGGCTTTCAATCTGGCATGTTTTACAAGCACTGAAATCCCTTAATGTTAGACAAAAACCTACTGAATTTTTGACATTGTTGTTGAAGTCATAACAGCTGAGCTTAATGTTAGCTTTAAAACAGTTACCTTTCACTTACATGTGGAAATTAGGTTGACAAACACTTTTGGTGAGGTTACTAAAAAGCTGTTTTCATCCTTAGAGGATATCAGCAGGCTGCTCTCGGCTAAGATTTACTGATAAATATTCAGGCATGTCTCTCTCACATGTGAATAAAGCACTCTCTGATTAATTAGAATATAACCTTGACAAGCCAGCTGAACTTATTATGAAGCACAATATAAAATTAATAATACAGCAGCCTGTTTTGTTCTCCCGTGATAACTCATACAATTTCTACAGATTCACTTTCATATGTCTACAGTTTGGTCTTGCTGCTTGCATTTAAGTAAAAACTCTAGCTTGGCTCTTTGTTATACGAGTCTGTTCAGAGTCATAAGGACAGGCATTTTCGCTATTGGATTTATCTGACTAGTGGAATATCGTGCATATAAATCGAACATCTTCCCTATGGCTGCTTCTATAAAACACCAACCAATAGCCCCCACACAGTCGACATCCCTGAAACAAATGCACAACTGAATATGCTCCTGGAGCTTGGCTGACCCATGCATAAACTGTATTAATGACAGCAGAGTCTTAAATAAATGGCACCACTGTTAAGTCGTTCTGGGGTCATCCACTATCCTGCACGTTGTTCTTGTGTCACAAAGGAAACAAAAAGAACCCTCCCAGGAGGTGCTATCGTTAATGTTCAGACATAAAGCCACACATAAATATTAGCTCTACTGGGAAAATATCACAGGTGGCTTTGGATTAATTGATGAATTCTCTGGATATAGTCCAGCTTCCTACTTTGATGCCAATTTTAAAAAAAAACTGTTCTTGTAGACTTGTGAAATGAAAAACTTCTTGTCATCAGGTAGATGTGCCACAAAGTTGGAATACTGTATTCTTTGAGCTCTTCAAAATCTGGAAATGCCTGAGGATTTCTCAGACAGCTTAATGCCTCAACACTCCAGACATAGCTGTTCCAATTTTAAAGTAATTTTCATTTTAACTGGCCAAAAAATACACCAAATTTGAGTCTGGGCTCACTCCATTCCTTCTCTGCTCTGTGACTATGTTGTTGAGGAGAAAATGACTAAGTTAATTAGCAGAAATGTAAATTGTTAATGTTAGCTACTGCTACAGCAACATCATCTCAGGATGTCAATGCATTATACCCTTTTTAATGAGTTCTGTCTTATCACCCCCTGCAAAGTAGGCATGGATGATGATTACTTTAATGATAGGCTAGGTGATTAGAACAAGAATCCCACCAGAAGTCTATGAAAACTAAGATTAGAATAACCTGGATAATCTGACTCACGGTCAGGTCAGTGTTCCAGTCTATGCTACAGGTGGCAGAACATTTGGTATCAGCTAGTCAGGTAGGCATGTTTAGAACTTGACTGACCACAAAAATGGTGCAGTTAACCTTCATTCACACACTCTATATTTTGGCACTAACAACTATTGACCGTGTTAGCTGGAAACCAGGCCCTTGATCCTTTATGCACCAGTCGCTATGCATGTGATTAGTCCCATGGAGTCCAGGGGGATTATTAACAACTGTAAAGCCACTCTCCTGTGCAGGTGCTGCAGGATAGGGGCCTGTGTCTGCAACCACAATGGAAAATGAATGGCATTGCTACGAGCTTCTAGGGGATTCAGCCTGCCATCAGTTAGCCTGGCTGCTGAAGTTCTGCTTTGTGCTGAAGCTGACAAGTGACACTTCATCTACTGCCTCACCAGGAGCAAAATGGTGGCAGTGTGCATTTGCAAGAGGAAGGGGATGTAGAGGTGTCTACTTAGTCACAGGGACTATGACTTTAGCTGCATTTCCAAAGCTACTGCTAGTTTCTGTCATTCCTAGAACTTCAGCAATGGCGAATGTAACATATATTCAATTGAAAAGAAATGGCCAGAGTGTTATCCCAGCATCTTGAAACTCCTGCTGAGAAAGGGTGCATTAAATGGCAACAAGTGCCAAAACAGGAAATCTGATAAGCAGAGCCCTGCACGGATACAAAATTTATATCGGTATCCGATCCGCAAACATGGTCCATGGATATCCGCATCCGCAGATATAAAGCGGATATCTGCAGATTTGCAGAGCTCTACTGATAAGGGATGAATTGTGCTATTGTGTCTACAGCAAAGGGGAAGATGCAGAATGACCTATCATGGAGCTAGTATTAAACAGGTCCCAGTTAGTACAGAACAGCTGCCAAGTAGCTGATAAAATGGAGAATTGTAATATAAATGAATCCCCTTCTCTGACAAGCTTAATATTGGTAAGATGTAGCAAATTTTTGTATGCATGCAATAAATGAGACCTCTGTTGTATCATATTCCTTCTCTCACAGCACACTGTTCCTTCCCAGATGCTATTCCTACAAAATACTCAGAAGTAAGTCACAGCTTGTTTATACCCTAAGATGTAACAGACTTCCCACAAAGTTATGCTTTAATTAACTGGTGGCGGCAGCTGACCCCAAAACATCACAGGATAAGGAATAGAGCACACATTTCAATGTCTAGCTCTAAACTGAAGTGGCCAGTGGAAGGATGGTTTTGTGGCTAAGGCATTAGACTGGGACTGTAAGTGGGAAGGAAATGTGGTTTCAATTCCCACCTCTGACATCATTTTCCTGGGTGATCCTGGCCAAGTCACTGACTTTCTCAATTCCTCATATTACTTGCCCAGGGTGTGTTGTGAAAATTGTTGGTGAGGCTCTCATACTATGGTGATTTTGGGGGGTGGGAGGGGTGGGCGCGGAAGGTGTAAGTACAAGATACACACAGCTTGCAGATGGGAGTCTGGATTGTTTGGCTCAGTTGGACACCCACATAGAGGATTCCTGTGGCTCATGTGAGGGGCTAGAAAGGAGATCCTGGTGGAGAAGGAAGTAAGTGAGTTACAGGGTTGAAGCAGTCTATTTTGGCATTGTAAAGGAGTGGGGGCTGCTCTTCATCAGTTCTGACTGAGTGCTGCTGATAGACTCAATCATAGCTGCAAATGAGCATTTCCTTCTCCACTGCCACTTGTTGTCTTCTTCCCTCTGACTCTTCTTAGCTAAGAACAAGACTCTTCTCTTGTTCCCTAGGGTTTTTTGTTCTTCCATCGTTGAGTCTCACACTCCATGAAGGACAGACATGTCATCCTCCCTTGTTCTTCACCTACAGACTACATCAGAGAATCTCACTGCAGTCTGGAGATATTTTTTTTCATTTGTTGAGCATCGATACCCTGGGCCTTTTGCTTCCTGGCAGAGGTTTGTGACAATCTCACAGCTGCTGAAGACCAGCTGCCAGACTCTCACTTGGTTCCTCCTTCTCTTCTTCCCCCCCACTCTGGAGGTTGTACATCTGTGGGTCAGAAAGGAATAAGCAGGTTTTAAAACATGTTCAAAGGGAACTTGAGACATAACTTAGCAGCATCACAATGATTCAGTGCTGGGAATCGGACTAATGCCATTGTCTTGGGTCCTCCTCCACTCTCAGAGGTGGTCTTCATATATTTTCAGGCATACACGTTAAAATATTGCAAAATATTTTACATTCTGCCACCATGTACAGTTGGAAGATTGAGTGAAGCCCCTTCACTCAGGACTTTAAGGTTTGGCAAGTATATATTTATATAGCTATAGCTATAGATATAGATTTTTTTCCCTCTTCATAAATGGAAACATTGGGAGTAAGAGGTTCAGACCACAGCAGTGCTCTGTACTTCAGCAAACCTCGGGTAACTCAACCAGCGTGTTTAGAAATGACTACTCACAGCCATCTTTAACCAAAAGCCCCAAGTACCTAAGAAGCAGTCAATCTATAGCCTTCAGCTTGGAAATCTGGCTGATTTATTGTGAGTCAGCAGGAACCCACATGGCTTAAAACCAAAATGAGATGGATCAGAAAAATGAACTCTTCCCAGATGGTAAAACTGCCCTCTGTTCAACCTGGTACACAAACTGGACAAGGTGGACAACTGAAAGACCATCTCAAGGCTGGGTGAAAGATCCAAGCCAAGAAATCTTATGGCAGATCTTGCAAATGAATACGGGTTTACAACACTGACTGCTTATAATCTTCAGTACAAAATCCTGAGCCACCCTCATACATTGAGGTGGCCTGTGGATGTCAGGGAGATCAATGAATTAATTTCACTGATGGTTTTTTAACTTATTAAATTAGTGACAGGTTGACCTTGGCAAAGGGCTATTGCAGCCAATAAGCACATTGCCTACATACGGTCATAAAAACAACAAAGGGTAAAATTAGCCTTTTAATTAACATGTGGGGCCATGGTCTTAACACAAGATGTCTTAACATTGGGTGCCTGTTTCTGCGTGTTTAAAGGGTCATAGGGCTGCTAAGCATGATTAAAAGGTGGCACCAAGCCAGGAGATAACATCAGTGGACATCTGTTCTTCCATAAGGCTCTTATGCAAGTACAGAAAGTACAAGGGCAGGGCCTGCGTGATGACTTGCAGGGCGTGTGGTGGTTGAGATACTGACAGCCTGACAATGAACAATGGGTCCATGTGCAGGCCACCCGCTGTAGCTCCACGTACAGCGATAGATATTGCCATCAAACACCTGCCTAATTCCCAGAGAACAGCAGGCCCCCAGATGGCTGCCCAAGTCCATTCACATTCCATGCATTCCTTCCCCATCCCTCCCCTCCAACAGCACATAGACACAAGGAATACCAAACACTATACCTGTTACAGGGACTTCACTTTCTTTCTCCTGCTCAGTCTCCTCTTCATCATTTTCCTTGTTGCAAGGGCTACATCAGTCTCCATTCTGTGAGGTGGGTTGGAGGTTGTTTGGGGCACCAGAGCGGATAGCTCTTAAAGATGCAGGACGTCCAATTTCTGCTAGGCTCTTGGTTCTGGTCTAATGTTCTCAGAAACTAAACCTTCATGGCCTTGAATATTCCATCATACTGGCTGATACTCAGTTCAATATCACATTTGGTGAGTCTTTCAGAAATCTGCAAATATTGTTAACTTCTTCCTAGCCAACTCCATGTCTATTTATATATTCTCCCTGCTCCAGTCAGGGTCCTGGTCTCGCTTGCCAGTGGCTCTTGGGTTTTGCAAGACGTCATGTCTGTAGCAGCTGGTGCAAGAGCTTAGCTATCCACCAGAAATGGACAATGAAGCTTTGACTATGGCTAACAGAAGGTAGTACTGGTTATTTTTAAAGCAGCCTGTCTGATCCTCTTTACTACACAGTTTATCATTATGAAATGGCTGACATGGGGGAACAGATACTAAGGTGCTCCTACTGTGATGTGGGTGGCAATGTAAGTATCTACTAAAGGTGCTAGGAAGTCCTGATTGAAGGAAAAAAGCACTTCTTATAACACATTGGGATGGCCTCCTACAGAAAAGAACTGTGAAACCCATTTACACAGACGAATCTCATCTGCACAGCAGTATGACAGTGCTATGACCGGGTTCCAGCCTGACAAGTGTGCTACTGCCAAACATGGATGAAACAGGCCAGCGGTAAGTTGAGCAACCACACACTGGTAGGAATGGTGTATATTTGCGCATGAGCAAGAACTACAGATGGAATCTCCCATTCTAAAACAGTGACATTTTGTAGTCTAGACAGAACTCCAGCCTCAAGACAATCTCATAGTTCCTCCTAAGTTTTCATTTCTAAGCGTGAGGAGAGCTACAGGTTAAGCAGCTCTGGGGGATGGGATGGGAAAGCAAAGTCAACCAGTCATCCAGTACCTTAAGTCAAAGTGAGAAAGGCTTACCTATCAAGGTATGAAATACAGCAGCCACCGCACCAGCCACAACCATGCACAAAACGGCTTTGGTCCTGTCTCGTTTGCTGTTCACAAACACCAAACCCACATTCTTGAAGTCACTCATTGGACCTGTGAAGAACTTCATAAGGGAATAGGCCAGCCCATAGCTGGCCAGCATTTCCACAGCATCTTCCTTAACAGCTGCGATACCCCTGTTCAAGGCCTGTTGAAATACAGAAAAACAAAGAATACTTCAAAATGTAGACAGCGTCTGGAAAAAAAATATGATGCAGGCTGTTTCCATAGAAACAAACAGTTTACCAAAAGTGAAGTCATAACCACTTTTGATCTGTATTGACTTGACATTCTTTGGATCCTGCATGCACAGATATAACGTGACTCTGAAACATCAAAATACATACTGGCAAAGTGCATACGAAAACTTTTCACACACTGTACAGTTTCAATTTACTGTGCTGCACAGCTCTATTGTATAGCCGCACGGTGAGACAGATAGCAAGTGTTACAATTTACAGTGATCAGTAAGAAACTACAGAGGATTTAAACACAAAGTGTTTCATGAAATAAAACATTAGTAATTTGTTTTTAAAGTTATCAAATGGAACCCCCTTATACTGAAGTGCAGTACTTGAACAACTTTACTATGTGAAATGGATCACTGGGCAGAAGGCCAAAAAGTCCCATGTGAGGACTTAGGTGTGACTTTAGTAACATGTAGTCTAGGTTAGCCTCTTGCAAAGGAGAATGAAATTTTACCCATATGCAAAGATACAAAACTGGAACTGCAGCTGGTCCATTACGATGCATTTAAATTACTTGGGGCTTAAAGTCCATTTCACTGTAAAAGGAGTTGCGCTATATTCATGTTGACCATGAGTGGGTACCTGATTCTACACCCATGGTGTTCTTCCTCCCATATAATTTCATGTTTCAAAATAAGATTGAGACGCTGCACCCCTTTATTAAGCAAAACTCTCAACTTATTAAAAATAATGAAACAAAATATCTGTATTTCAAGTTGTTCTTATTTTGAATAGTTTAGCAAATACCTTGCAGATACTGAGGAAAAAAGTGTCCCCCCCTGCCCAAATCTCCAATAATTTAACAGATTATCTTCATATCTAAATTGAACCAAGAGAAAAATGCCATAACATTTTCCTCAGAACTCAGGAAAAGATCACACCGAGCACATTTCAAATGTGTTGACTAAATATGACAGAGTTTTTGTCTTCCCTGTCATAGCATCAATCACTTAAGGTATTCAGTAAATGGTTAAAACAGGATTAGACTCAAAAAGTACAAAGGATGGAATGACAACTTGATTTCATAAGAATTTAGTTCTTATGGGTCACAGATGAGAGATAGTGACAGGTCCACAAAGAACTGACCAATCAGGAACATCTTTTACCTCTCCCCCGACTCCAAAACTGCAGTGTCTTCCACTTACGTACCACCCCTGGCACTGAGCTTTGTTTGAAGGTAAAATATCTACATTTGACTATCATAGGATAACTATTTCAGAGTAGCAACCGTGTTAGTCTGTATCCGCAAAAAGAAGAACAGGAGTACTTGTGGCATCCGAAGAAGTGGGCTGTAGTCCACGAAAGCTTATGCTCTAATAAATTTGTTAGTCTCTAAGGTGCCACAAGTACTCCTGTTCTTTTTATAGGATAACTAGGTTCAAGTCTTAGCATTTCAACATCACAGTTCTATGTGAAGCACATACAAGCAGGCAACTCCTATTGGCTTCAACAGAAGTTGTTTCCGTATGTTGGAGGGCAGCATTTAGCCTCTAATATTTTTTTTCCTTTTCAATCTCCCTGTAAGATGCTTCACTGCCATTTGCTGATGTTAAAACTAAATCAATGTCTCCAGCATGACATAAAACTGCAGCAAGTTCTCCATACCTGATGCCCATCAAAACGGTCTCTTGCACTACACTATGCACTAAACATAATAAATGAAGTTCCATATTTTTCAGCCTTTTTGCTCTATTTTGTCCTTCTTCTCCCAGACAATGACCTTATCCCATCACGTGTAAGACGCATAAGATCTTCCCTCCTACTGTTACACACAGCTGCTTCTGGGGCCTACATAATGCATGTGCTGCATTTGGCAAGGGTGCAAGTTGTATCTAATCTTGCAGAGTAAATCATACCCAAAAAAGATGGCATCCTGTGCACACAGTTTGCTTACTCCTTAAGAATGCTGTAGAAAAAACTGGTGGTAGCCATCCACCATGACAAGGATCAAGCCCTTAGCCTGTATGATTCCCTATAATAGCTGCATAAAAAAGGAAGGATGTTAAAACTGTTTCAGAGCTTTAAGCTTGTACCTTGGCCACTTATACATGGGACAGTGGTATTAGGGGCTATGCCTTTAAGAGCTGAGCTTCCCAGATATAGATTCTGGGCATGGTGCTGTGCAGTTGGAACCAGTCTCAGAATGAAGCAGATCTCTTGCAAACACCTTAATCACTGAACTCCACCAGGGCAACAGCAGACATTGGTGCTGGTAGGGGCTCCTTAATGGACTGAGGATGCCTATGGGATGTGATTAACGCAGTTCAGGACTTACTGGTCATATGGATAGCCTACTGACAACACACATATAGTGCAATCTGTCCAACTTGGGGCATGACCTGAAATAATCCCACCTGCTAGGGACAAGCCTCCCCTGGTGACCATGGAGAGTAAATAACTTCTGCAGAATTTGAAGCTTTCACTTATGAAATCCTTTCCTCTGACTCTTGTGTGACTCTGAAGTACTCAGTCTCACTACACCTTGGTTTACACCCTGTGAAATGGGTGCTCTCATACTTACCTACCTGTGATTGGGTATACAGAACCCATACTAACCAAGAAGGGTTTAATGTGAGCCTGTGAACCCAATCAGACCCATCCTGCTTCACCTGTGCAAGGTGTCAAGCCTGGAGGGAGGAATCAAAAGAGGAAAAGGCCAATTCAATAATGACTGACTGGAGAGGTAGTGGACCGCTTCAGCTAGCCCTGTGAAGGAAGGGCCATCTGGGGCCAGAGTCTAACTAGAGATTCTTAAGTGTCAGAGCTTCCTTGGGGCAGGAGGGCTGGTGTGGCACTTCCTGTTTCTTTTGTTCTCCATAACTTGTTTGATTCCCCTTTTTTGGGGACCAGCAGACGTGTCAGTCCAGCAAAAGGCTGTGAGAGGCCTCCTTGGGGGCCATGGGAGGAAGCAGCCCAGGGATACAGCAGAGTTTAAACACACAGACCTTGTCTGCTTCATTCAAGGTCCCTGGACTGGCATCCAGAGTAGAGGGTGGACCTGGGTTCCCCTTCTAATTCACCTAGGGCAGAGGCATGAAGACCCTAGAGCCAAGACTCCAGAATGATGCTGCCAAACTACTGGTGCTGGACTTGGTTTACACTGGAAACTGGAGTGGCTGTCAGCAGGAGAAGAGGCCACTATGCCATGCTCACCACAAGAAGGCACAGCTGTGGTGAATACACTTTTCTTCCACATACTCTTTCACAGCTGGTGGCAGGCTCAAATGATGTTTGTGAAGTACATTGTACTGGTTATCAAGATAGTAATTTCTTTCACTTCAACAGGAATCAGATCTTTCCACGCCTCTGCCAGCACTGCTAGGAACAGGGAAAATTTCCATCTTTTAGATGGAAAAATCAATAGAGGGTGCCTACTGCATTCTTTGAAGGGCATTATTTGACTTTTATTCCTCCCTTCCCTCCCATTGTCTTTTGCTTGCAGTAAACTATTTCTGGTGGTTCTAATTTTCAGAGTAATAGCTAAAGCGTTCAGGGCACTCTGCAACCTAAATTAATCCTGTCACTTGAAAACAAAGCCACATATATTTTTAGGCATAATTCACCATATCAGGCACTTCCATCCTGTTAGGACTACTACTCATTGTCAAGGCCTATGCAGGAGAGTAATGAATCTATCACCGACAGGATGGCAGTTTATCTGACAGTCTATGCATTCAGTTGAGACCCATGCCTGTCAGTGGTTACCCAGACGGAAAGAGCCCTCCAATCTGAGCTAAATGGGTCCATAAAATGCCAGTGAGAATATGATCTCTGAGAAAGCTATGGCCTAAGAAACTAACAGACCCAGAAAAATCCTCATTACACATAGGAGAAAAAATTCACCCTAGATGAAGCTCTGAAGTCAACTGAATTTGGGGTGAATTTAGACCATAATCTCTCTGTGTCCATTTACCACATAACTAGGAATGGACAAGAGTGAGTGATTCTAGGGTGGGACTCTGCTCCCCCATCATTTAAGAGTGAGCTCAGACATTTTCTGTGTAAACAAAATACAACAAAGTAAACACACGTGAATTGCCATGGGATTCCCCCCAATTCCCACACTCTGCACCAGGTAATGTAAAGGAGCCCTACTTTGTTAGAGGAATGTTGCCATTAAGTTGTCCTACTGAGGAACAGCTTGCTGACATGAAGAAATCCCTCTAAGGTCAGACATGAAATAGTAATGTCAATAAATGAGCCACTGGAAAAAGTATTTCCTGTGGAAGACCACTTTAGAAAACTTACAGTAAATGTGACTGTCTACTAGCTGCTTAGTTTCAATAACTTCCTCCAGAAAAACCACTCATTTTGATTGATGTACCTCACTAATTTATTTTTCCATTTTCACTTTAAAGAGATGAATGGACAAACTATTCAATCACAGCTTTCAAAACCTGTTGATTTCATCATATTTGATACCCTTAAATCAATGAGAAAACCCAGAAACTTGGAGAGCTTATTCTGTGCATCATATGAAAGATAAAAATGTTTGCTGGGTTCCATGACATGACAAACACTGGCAGCACTTGGTAATCTTCCAATTTAATTTCCTGTTACAGCTGCAATTCCGTATCTTGTTTAAAAGTCATAAACCAAGGAACACTTTCCACTTCTTGTTGTATCACTGACTACAGTTTGTGTACATGCTTTGTGTGCATAAAATCATTGACAAAACTGAATAAACAGCATCTGTGTTCCATATTTGTTCCAAACAAGTTACAATCTGTATCCAAAAAGATCAGCATGACTTGTCAGATGAATCATAAGTTTTTCAAAAGGTATTTAGGCTTTGCTCTGCTCAGCATTGTAATGCTTATCTGACTTGGGAGCCTGCATCTCATTTTCAAAACTGACTTAGGCACTTCTCATTTTTAAAAATGAGAATTTGGCTCCTAAG